TCCTTGATATATTTAATTAATCGAATTAATGCGATTAATTGCCGGGATATCCATATCAAGGAATTGATCGCCATACCCGCTCTCACGTGAGGCCCTGGCATCTTAATTTCATCACGTTATTGGGCCTTACAATATCAAGAATGCAATTATTATGGCTCAATCAAATGACAGATAACTATAACCGACAAATATAGGAATCTATTTACTATCATTACAGATCAACTTACTATAACAAATATTACATTCTTAAAGGGAATAATGCTATTCGAACTAACCGGCGATAAATCCATTTCTAATGTATTGAAACTATGCTTGTCAGAAACAAACTCATAACTTCTAGCATATGTTAAGAAAAGATTCATAAAGTGATAAGAATACTGCTAAAATTAAACAAAGGGCACTTGTAGCTGTGAAGCTAAAATCTATCTGATTAAGGTCTTTGTGCTGTTATTATAGGCGTGACGTCTAATTACCGTCAAGAAAAGTCCCTATCCTGATATTGATTACAATTACTATTTAATCTACCATTAGTTGCAGGGTCACTGCAAGATGGTGAGATAATAAAGTCCGCCTTCCTATTATTAGAGAAGCGGTAGTGAAGAGAAAAATAAAATTTACTACTGAAAAACTAGCTTTACATCTGCGGTATTAACGAAAATATCTTTAAATAGGAAAAACCTATATCTAATGAGATAACGCTCATAAAAGGCTAAAACGGCAAGCTGGGCATGTGATCGTCGGGTCTTGCAATAATTGGTCGCCTTGTCATTTTGTTGACAAGTTTCTTTAAAAGTAAGACATGCATTCACGATCATGAAATAATTTTGTTACATGGGAAGAATTTTAAAATACTATCTTTATCGATGGTAATTCGTTAGGGTGTTCAAAGTATTAATTAATCAAAACGTAGCTAGGATCATATATATTCGGATTTTTTTACAGGCATCGATTTATGGGGTCTTTACCTTGAAAATAGGGTTATAGAGTCCCAAACTAAAATGAGATTTCTGTCAAATATTAGTCTACAAAGTATTTTGTATAAAATTTATGGTTTGTTAATATAATATTTAAATGAGTTATTGAAGCTCAGATTTTTGATGCGGAAAAGTTTTTGAAGATCTAAAAATAATTGACATAGCGGATAAATAGTTAGCCGTTAATTTGTACTACTAAAAATTTTGCCGTGAAAGTACCCTACGAGGCATCATTACACGAATTTAGTTGTTATCCAATAGTACTAAAATCTGTGATCAGCATATCTGCTAACCAATTTCTAGTGTCATAAGGTCATTTTCAAGGCAAACAACTCTTTATGTTTATTTTTTGACCTAACTAAAAGGTAAAATTGCTATGTTTTTTTTCTTTTTAAATGAAGCTCTAGAGTAGTTCTCCAAGATAGTTCTAAATTTCTTTAAAGTTATTAAAATATATATATATCTATTTCACAATTGTGCTAGCCTAGAGCTTCATTTTTTTAAAAAGTTAATGTATATGTTTTATATATAAATTAATACCGTAAAAAATCCGAACTTAGTAATCGACAAAACCTTAACTATGTTTGTAATTAGTATTTTGCACATCGTGATTGATTACATAAAATAAAATATTGGGATTGGTAATTCATTTATATCATTTATTTTTAGCAAACTTTATACGATTAATAGCACTGTATTAAATGCATACTTTATTCTACTTTGTTTAAAAAAACCGGAATTGGGTTATGCTTATTAAATAGCTAGCGCAGACATTCTCACATGTTGGACAAAGGGTTATCATATCGATATCCCAAATTTAGACACAAAGCGGATGAAGTTGTATCTGAAAATTCAAATCTGCTGACACAATGCAATATTACATCCAACCAATTCCGGGATTAGTTTTAACTTCACTATTTTTAGGTTTAAATTTTTTTAGCTTTTTATTTAAATTGGTGGAATTTTAAATTTTTTTGTTTCACGTCTTCTATCGCTTGATTCATTAATTGCTATGCCACCAATAACTAGTTCGAAACGTTCTAAACCTCCTAATGCATTCGTGATATTTCGAACATTTTTGAATGATGCCATAAATCAAGATAATAAGAAATTTAAAGCTAGTATTTCCCTAAAAAAAACGTCCCCGACAGAAAAAGTTACAAGTACTTCTGGACTTGCCAAAGATTTATGGCACAAATACCTTTTAATCCAAAATATTTATCGCTCATTATATAATAAAGAATTTGTTGATAAAAATCATGGAGTATGTTCTTTTTCTGTATCTGGAATTTTTGGGAACTTGAACGATTTTTATTGTGAACTATCAAAGAATAATGATCCTAATTCTTCCGAGAATAAATTACATGAACTTCTTAAGAGAGGTTATGATTATCTTTTATCTCCAACTCGCGAAAAGTACAAAGAGATTGTCAGAGAACAGCCTAGATACAGTCAAAGCAGTGGGACACTAGATAAGATATCAAGCAAACGTATAGATCTTTTAATAAATTTTGTTACAAACAAAATCAATTTAAAAGCATCTTTTTTTGAACCTTTTAAAAGTAAATGTGCGTTTCTTTGTAATTCATGCAAAGTTGAACTGAATCTTGACTTTTTGTACAGTGAAATGTTCAAATTCTTGAAAAACAAATCCGAATTGCCTGATAACATTTTTATTGACAAAATACCTGACGAATTACAAGCAAAATATAATCAAATTTCAGAAAAATATTTGCATAATATTTCCTCTAAACAGCAAAAGGATCAGTTGGCTGAATATAATGATATCAGCAATGAACAAGAACACATGAAACAATCCATGCCCTTTACAATTGGGGACTACTCTGGTTTGTTAGCAAAAGAATTTTTGTCTAATTTGAGACTTCGCTACCCTACTCTCAAATACTACAATGATTGTTATAAAAAAATGTTTGGAGAAGAATACGCAGAGGAGAACACTAGCCCGACTTGGCTTCTTAAAAGATTGCTCGAATGTTTATTAAGAAAAAAGGGTTATAAAATTACAAAGCCACATTATTTGTATACTGCTTGTGCAGAAGCATTAGAATGTAATAAAAACAAGCACATTATTGACGCTTATAAGCAACTTTCTCTTGATATGAAAGAAAGTATCTCCTATAAATTAGCTCGAGACACTCTAAGTTCAGCAAAGGTAAAGCTTGTTAAAGTAAAAGTAAAAACCAAAGCTATAAAGAATTCTTATTATTACCGATTAAGTAAACAAAATTAATAACAGTTTTGTTTTTATGTTTTTCTTCTAATTATATGCTTTTAAATTACTATAAATTTTAAATAAGAATATTATAACTAAGCAGAAAGCAGGTTGTGTTTATTCGTTTTTTTGTTACAATTCTGCTTTTTATCTAATAATAAGTTTAGTATTTTGATTTTTTTAAATTCAAAAATTTAAGATAAAATAAATCAATTCTTGTTTATGCTAATTAATATATAGATTATTTATACAGTACCCTTCTTCTATACAATTACATTTTCTTTATAAGCATTGTTTTTTGAAAAATTATTGGCAATATATTTATCAAAAAATTTTTTATAATTATATTACTATAGAGAAAAATGACTATAGTATTTAAACCATTTTTTATGCAAATAAAATTTAAATTATATGTTAAGAATCTTTTATTTATTTTGCGTTTTACGATTTTTAAAAATAAAAGCTAAATAAACTTTGCAAAAAATTATATTTAAAACTAAATTGCTAGAATTAATTAAATATATATATTTTTATTTTACTATTTTTTAATAAAAAAATTATATATTTTTTATATCAATATAATTAATTTTATTTTGTTATGATCATGATCAAACTTCACATGATCAATGATCATGACTGACAATTATGACAAAAGAAAATAGCCAATCAGTGAATTCAAATTTTGATCGTTCCGGATCAGCCCGACATGAATTCCGAACACGTTGTGGAACCTGAATGGACCCTGGCCGGTCGGGGTCCATCGCTAAATTAGGGAAGGAGTTGATTGCATCAGTCGCATCAGTCACATCCGTCGCATCCGTCGCATCCGTCGCATGCGACCTATCAGTCGCATGTGACGAATGCGACAGATAGCAGTGATCGGTCAGAAGGGAAATATCAGTAGGATACGACTGATCAGTAGCATCAAAGATATCAGTCGTATCCATCGCACAATGTAAATAGA